AAACCGGCGCTAACTCCCATGTCTAATGGATCCATATTATTGGTTACTGAGCTCAGTTTATGATTGGAGAGTTAAAGTTAAATGATGTCCGAAACATCATTTAACTCAGAGTTAACTTTTTGACCAATCAGCTTCGTTTTTGCTCATTTAACTTTGGTAGTGTGAACGCAGCCTAAGACCCTAGACTAAAGTCAAGGGAAGGAACAAGTTCACTTTATGGGGAAGTTAAGGAATCCAGATGTTGACTATTCCATCGTAAAAAGCATCACTTAAAACCTATAAATTGACAAAAGAAACTCGGCGGCAAACACTCGAAACCCAAAAAAAATTCAATTTACTCTCATCAGTGCCTGAGGGGGATCAAAGGCACAAATTTTGAACAAAATTTTTTTCTGCTAAATATACATCATTGAACTCAGTTTCGTACGTAGATTACGAATATAGCTTTGGTTTTGAATGGAAATTCTAAAACTTCGCTCGATTCCTGAGGGCGACCAAGGCAAGAAGTTATGACGAAAAACGTTTTTTCAGAAAACCACATCATTCGGTTTGACTTTGTACGTAGATTATGAATATCATATTTATTTTTAATAACGTTTTGTAAGCAGCTACTTTTAATTGAAAAATCTTCCTTCACTTACCCCCACTTCCTTCGCCCCCCTTCCCGCAGTCATTTTTCCATTTATTATTCGCTAAGCGCTTGACCAATGAATATCATCAAACATTCTTAATCTTGTAAATAGTGGCTGTAAAAGGTCAAAGGTGGGAAATGGTGCTAATAAACGAAATGTTTATGCTGAGCAACTCAAGCTATTTATTCTATTTTTGAGTTACTTTGATCTTTCTTTTAAAATCTGATCTTTTGCTCATTAATAAATCTTTATAAATATAGATTTTTTAAATTGTTTTTTAACATCAGTTTTGTTTTTGATAACTTTTTTTTATAAGGATTGCTTCTACTTTTACATCCCATTTTTTCTTCATAATAAAATTTGTATCAAATATTATTCACATTTGTCTTAATGTTCAACTACATTGTGTATAGCATAATATATCAAGGTCTTATTACCAGGGATACGTATTCAAATTAGTGGCGGCACCAGGATTTTTCGGGTGCCTGGGCTCAGCCCATAATTTTTCAAAAATCCGTTCAGAATTTTTACGTGACTATTGCTAGTGAGTACTCTGTTTTCAAATTTTTGGGTGGTTGGGTTCAGCCCACCCTAGCCCTGCCCTGGTGTCGCCACTAATTCAAATAGCTAAATGGTATTTATCCAGCGATATATTAGCCTGAGAAATAGCTGACATAAGATCTTTATGTTTTTTATCCAAATTGTTTTGTGTATGGGTAAAGAAATATAAACTATGTGATTGTGGATCGATTTGTTTGTCGAAACATGAGTTTTCTTTTTAATAGCTCGTCTAAAGAAAGCAAATCTTAAGAAACAGAACAACAGAAAAAGAAAAAAATTGCTCATCTAAATTTAATTTTTGCAACAGATCGAGCAATAAGACACAACAACTAAAATAAACCTGAAAATCGAGTAACAATAACATAATAACAATCGAAGCAAGTCAAAAAACGAAAACACACAAGAGCACAATTATGTCTGACAATGAAAATATTTGAAAGTCGAATTGAAACGATGCGTATTATAAGAATACAAAACAAATAAACATCAGACGTATTGTATACAAAAAACAAAACAAAATTATACATCATGTTTCACATACAAAAATAAAGATACTTAAAATAGTGTCCAAGCAAGTAATTCAAGAGCAAAAGCAAGTATGGAGAAAAACACTTTTTACCGATAGATATTTTTCAAGTCATCTCTCTCGAAAAAAATATGACACTCACACAAGTATTTTTAAAATGATCGTTTTTATGTAAATGTATTTTTCTGTCAACTATATGATTATAAAATTATTAATACCCAATCAAAAAAAGATGATTTTTCCAAAAACAATAATTTAAGAATAATCCCCGTATCAAATACCTTTCGAATACTTTTTGTAGTTCAAAAATGAAGAAAACTACCGGACAGCATGCAAAACAGAGAAGAATGTCTAAACAGAAATGAAATTTAAAATGCGAAGTGAAAACTCATGTCATTCAAAGCGATCGAAAGCAAACAACTTTGAGTCTTTGAATTCTGAAAAGAGGTAACTGGAAGAAGATAAACGAGCGAAAAGTAATGGAACAAAGAAATATCGGTCTATTTTGTCCTTGTCTCTCCAAACAATCTTCAAGTGGAAAAATACTTTAATGATAAGACGAATTTCTTAGATTTCATTTCTTCCTTTCCAATGGGATCATTGATGAAGAATTTATATGAACAGTTTGGTTTTTTTTTCTACCAATTTACCTAGTTCAAAGTATTTCTGTGACTTTACAGATGTTGTACACGGCCTATTCAGTCATAGATCTCGTTAGTAATGGTAAAGAATTGTGGTAAAAGTACATTAAAGTATTCTTCTACTTGAAGATTGTTTGAAGAGACAAAGACAAAAATGTCAGTATTTTTCCGTATACAGGTCCACCTTTTGCACTGAACAAAGAAACATCATTCTGAAGAAATATATATGCATTTGCAGTCACAGATTCTCAAAGTCAAACATACCCTTAGCACTGAGAGCTTCTGTCTGAAATATGAATTGTAATGGTGGTACATAAATAACAGCGAATTGTCCAATAATGGATAGTGGAACTGCAACAACAAAAAATTTATTGGAAAATAAGCCAGTTTCGAAAATGAACTTTGTCTAAAAGAAAAACAAACAAACAATTAACTAGTTTTAAACCATGTTTTAGTTTCAACGTACTTGAGAACGGCAACTCAATGCATTGAACATGTCAAAGAAAACAAAACAAATAAATGTCATTGTCGTATCTCGTGGGGTCACTTTTCCATCTCTCATCTAAACATATAATAATAATATTTTTCTGGATCAACCTGTTTTAATACGGTACACTACCTCTGCATAAAATACGCATAATGTTCCAATAACGATAACAGCAGCACTTGTGCCCATATTGAAGATTAAACGTCGATCAGTCATTGAATCTGTTACTTTTCTCGGGGGTTTTTTCAATACCTACAAAACACACATACACACATATATATAAGGATGTTAAGACGACCACGCATCAGCGTATACATCATGGTCGACTCGTTCAACTCCAAGACTAGAAAAAAGATGCAAACAGGATGAAATAGGATGTTATAGGAATAGTTTTAATATATACCTCTTTTTCTTTATAAGCAGTTTTATTTAAAAAATCCTTCCCAAACACGAATGTAGACCCGCTAAACCGCACGGGTAACCGCGTGTGTTTTTATTTTATACGTGGTTCACACCGGTTCATGCGGATATAGGCCCGGCTCTCGCCGGTTGAGCACCGGTAAATCGTCGATTTTAATCGGTTGTTGATAAAAAAAA